TTCGACATAGGTCAACTCCCTCACAGTCAAAACCAATGATCAATTGCCTCTCAGCTGATGGTTCTAAGAATTCAGATGGAAGTTGAGAAGCATTTGTCACAATATGGATTGGAACCAATGAATCTATGGGCTTTCCACCTGCAACATAAAAGAATTAAAATAATAATAAAAAGCGGAATAAAATGTTGTGAACTGGACAAAAACTTCCAATAAAAGTTATTCATAAAACAAATTCGGAAAGAATAATTGACTTATCTCCACTTCATACAACATCAAAATGTAACCCTCGTTAAAGACCTACGAACTCAGATTAGTGGAAAATCTTTTATTCGAACAATATTTTCTTTTCTTTTCCTATATTTTCTCGTCAACCAAACGAAACCAAAGATACACAAAAGAAAAAGAATCTAACAACAGCAGCAGGTAATCCGCAAACAAGGACACAAAGCTTGATTTTAGGATAAATTTAGAAAAGAAAAATAATCTTGGAATTGAATTAAAAGTAAATGTAATTCATTGAATAATAAATTACCAGGGTCTGAAGAGAGAGGAATGTGTGTGTGATGAGAAGAAGACGAGGCCATGTCATTGGGACCATCCAACCAGATCAAATAAATTTTTTTTCTCTGTAATCTGACCTAGTGGGGTTTATATTGAGATTTTGATATTTCTGGAATTATTAGTTGGTTCTGATGGGTAAGGTAATAAGAAGGGCAAAGCAGTTCACCACTAGATCTTTGCCACGTCAAGCAGTCATGTTAGATCGTCATATATAGCGTACACGTGGTTTAAATGCACTGATTTCAACGAAAAAGTTACGAGACAATAACCATTTAATTCGTGAGAAAATAATTTACAATTTAGCTGAAAATATCTTATTTTAAAGTCTACCGACCATATCCAAAAATATATTCTTCACTTTAACGCTTGTAAAAATAATAATAAGTTTCTCTTTAATTTTTTTTTGAGTATCATAAATATTATTAATATGTCCATTTTTTTAAATAATATTTTACAAGTAATTAAATAGAATGATAACATGATACTATAGCTAATAATAAATCAGAGATATTTGAAGTGCTTCCATCATCTTTTATAGTTTTTTTTAATTAATAGAAAATACTAAATAATAATAATAATAATAATAATAATAAAGTTTAATCCAATGTTCTGAAAACCGGACCGGACAATGACCCGTTTAAGGGTCCAGTTTTCGATTTGATCGGTTGAATCGGTCGGTTGGACCGTAATTTGTAAAACTATTTTTAGTCCCTAAAGGTTTGAAATTCATCAAAAACACCCCTATAATACTCCCTTAAGGTTTGAAATCTGTCTAAAACACCCCTGTCACCGGAAGATTCTGGTGAGTGGTGGCAGCAGCGACGATCGACAGCCAATCGAAGCTGGAATCTTGGGGCTTTTGATGTGTAGGTGCCGGTGACTCTGATGGTGGTGCTAGGGAGTTCCATCAGCGTCAGAACTCGCCGGAATCAACAAAAGAAATCCGACGTTGCTTAAACTTTAGGTGGATGGTGAGCGACGAAGGCTGGACAACGGCCACCGAAAATGGATTGGTTTGGTCGTGGAGATGCGTCACGTCGAATGGGGGTGTTTTCTCCGTTGAAAGATGCCAGAATCCGACGGGATGGAGCTGCGATTGAACCGCGACTCGGTAGTATTCCGGCGGTCCAACCTCGGCTCAATCCGATTTAATGGTAAATGCTGGTTTTTACAATATGCCGGACCGGAAATACCGCCGGTTGCCTGTCGAACCGGGCGGTCCGGTCCGGTTTTCAGAACACTAGTTTAATCTATCCGTTAAGCAAGTAACGGAAATAAAGAAAAAAGTTGACAGCAAATCCAGGTCATATTTTGGTGCAGAGAAGGCGGTCTTGGCTTCTAGGTCTATCCAAAAAGGTCGGGGCATTTTATTAAAAGACCATGTCAAGATTAAATTTAATTAAAAGGCTATGAAGTTTTAAAGTATTAACTAAATAGCCTTATTATTGATTAAGGGTAATTAAACATGATTAGTGCTTAATTAGGATTACTTAAGTATTGTGTAATATTTTAAAAATTATACTATATTCTCAAAAACCCGAAATTCTTGCAAACAAACCCAAACGCCTTCTTCTTCCTCCCGCCATTAACGCATCTCTACCATGGTTGTTGTTTCTTCTTAGCCTCGTCTACATCTTTTTCTTCCTTTGCATCTTCTTCTTCATCTACATCTTCTTCCTCCTTCCTCTCCATCTTCTTCTTCCTCCTTCCTCTCCATCTTCTTCTTCCTCCACCATTAACACTTTCTTCTTCCTCCACCATTAACATCTTCTCCACCAAAGATCTGCCTTCTCCTCCTCCTGACATTTTGTCTAAGCATGTGTATCTCCTCTTTACATTTTATATTTATATTTACAAAGATTTAATAATGGATGGGGTTTGAGTTATAATTTTGATTTAGTTGTTTAGGTTGTTGGGTTGTGTTTGATGTAATGCAAGTTGAAATTAGTGAAATTTGTTGAATATTTTTTTGCATTGTGGGTAGCTAGGGGTGATAGCACCGATTGTAGGTGGAGATGGCTGAAAATGTGTTTTGGATATGATGGATCGCTTAAGCGATCTGATATAAATCTGGTATATGGTAGTAGATCGCTTAAGCGATCTGGTATATGACAGAAGATCGCTTAAGCGATCTGGTATAAATCTGGTATATGGTAGTAGATCTCTTAAGCGATCTGGTATATGACAGAAGATCGCTTAAGCGATCTTTTAAGCGATCTGGTATAAATCTGATATATGACAGTAGATCGCTTAAGCGATCAGGTATATAGCAGCAGATCGCTTAAGCGATCAGACTTATTTGTACTAGATCGCTTAAGCGATATACTGGATCGCTTAAGTGATGCAGTAAGCGATATACTTTGGTGAGAAATTATATTCCGTAATGTTTATTTAATATTTAGTCATTTATTATTATTTATTAATTATTATTTTCATTTCAATAGAATGTGAAAATAACACTTCGGTCTTTGTTGATCAACACCGTACATAAAATTGAAAGATCTATTGTTATTCTATAATTTTTGTTAGTTTTTGCAAGAAAGTAATATAAAAAAATATAATATTTATATAAAATTGAACTCTGCAACCATCTGCTCTGCACTTTGTAGACCAAGGCTAAATAGACGGGATTGCTTAAGCAATTAAGGGTAATTTACTTCAATATTTCTTTTCCATGTTTATGGACATATGTTTAATATAGACGTAAAAGAACTAATTTAATTAAAATATAATAACGGTCATGGTCCACTGAACGAATCGTACACCTGATATGTTTAATATAGACGTAAACATTCTACACCATATATGTTTAATATAGCCGTAAAAGAACTAATTTAATTAAAATATAATAACGGTCATGGTCCACTGAACGAATCGTACACCTTATATGTCTAAGATAGCGTTAATTGCTTAACCGATCTAGTAAAATACAATAAAAATAATCCGAATACACTGGATCGCTTAAGAGATTTCATTTATAGCTTAAGCGATCCTGTGTATTTAGACTTAGTTGCTTAAGAGATATGGTTGTATTTATGTTATCGCTTAACCGATTATACGCTTTTACACTTAATCGCTTAAGCGATCATGAACAAGACATAATCAATAAGTGCCCAGACGCATGATCGCTTAAGCGATCCTTTGCTTTTAACCTTAGTCGCTTAAGCGATACGCTTAAGTGATCATGTTCGAGGTAGAATAAACTTCTACTTAGATGCACAATTGCTTAAGCGATTAAGTGTATCGTTTGAGCGATTCTTCGCTTTTACTATTGGTCGCTTAAGCGATTGTAGATCACTTAAGTGATCACGAACAAGACAATAAATAAGTGTCCAGACACACGATCACTTAAGCGATTCATTATATTGCTTAAGCGATCCTCTGCTTTTAACGTTGGTCGCTTTAAACGATTCTTTGCTTTTACTGTTGGTCGCTTAAGCGATCATGAACAAGACAATAAATAAGTGCTCAGACACACGATCGCTTAAGCGATTTATTAGATTGCTTAAGCGATCATTTGCTTTTAATATTGGTCGCTTTAAGCGATCTTGTCCGAAGCAGAATCAACTTCTGCCCAGATGCACGATCGCTTAAGCGATCTAGGTATCGCTTTTATTGTTGGTCACTTAAGCAATCTTCGATCGCTTTAGCAATCACGAACAAGACAATCAATAAGTGCCCAGATGCACGGTCGCTTAAGCGATTTATTATATCGCTTAAGCGATCATTTACTTTTAACCTTGGTCGCTTAAACAATCATGTTCGAGGCAGAATCAACTTCTGGCCAGATGCATGATTGCTTAAGTGATTTAGGTATCGCTTAAGCGATTATTTGCTTTTACTCTTGGTCGCTTAAGCGATCATGTCCGACGCTTGGAATCTGCGTCGGCGTCCTCCTTTTTAGTTTCAATAACTCTTGCCCTCCCTTTTTTCGCTAGTAGAATGTCTTCTGTCGGCGTCGTCTCCTCTCCTGGTGGAGCAACTTCAGTTATTGGAAGTTACTCCACCGTAACTTCTTCTTCTCCATTTTTGGTAGACCTAGTGGTGCCTACAATTTGGGGAGCGGATGGGTTTTTTCTATTTTTTTGAGGATCTCAGCCATTATAACTTAATCGGGAATGACAAGGAATGAAAAAAATGCAAAGAGCAAGGAAATTGAGAAATTGTAGAAAATTGGAAGAAAAAACGAGAGAGAGGAAGGTGTTTGAATCCTTTTTGAGCAAAAGAAGCTGATAGAAATATATTTTGCCTTTCAAATTTTAAATCAACTTCTTTTTATTATACTCTAACCCACAAATGTTTAAATTTTTTCACCCTAATCCTTTTTGCTGCTTTAATTATACTTAACTGTGTCATGTCATATTTTTTAACCCAAAAAAAAACAAAAAGATTTTCATCACCATTTTGTTAAATGAAACTTGGAATGTCGGGGTGTTAAATTTTCTCAAAAAGGTCCCACTAGCCCCGCACTTTTCACTTTCCCTTTCCTAAAAAGACGATGATCCTCGTAGGAATCCCTAACCCACCTTAAATTCCAATCCGTTCTTTTTCCTATTCGAATCTGTTCGATTCACCCATCAATTTCTCCTCATTTGATCAATTTTTTTTTTAGTTCATCTGGTTAATGGGATTTGTTGGTGAATTTATTTTGAAATCAAGTTGTTGTTCTAGTTGGGGTTAGTCAATTTGAGAGAAGGAAATGAAGAGAGGGAAAGATGATGATAAGATCATGGGTCCAATGTTCCCTAGACTTCATGTTAATGATGCTGAGAAAGGAGGACCTAGAGCACCGCCCAGGAACAAGATGGCCCTTTATGAGCAGCTCAGTATTCCTACTCAGAGGTTCAATCATGCTGCTTTCCCTCCGTCTTCTGACAATAGCAACTTGGTTCCTCCAGTTTCCTCAAGCCAGGTAACTTTTTCAATCTTTATGTTTCATTTATTCTTTTTGGTTTGAAGTGTTCTGATGCTTTATTTTTTAGAGTAAGGCTGTGGGTTCACCAAGGATTTGCTATTATTCTGGCACAAACATCATCATATGCTTCTTGCTATTGTTGATTAAGTAGGCAACTATATACTGTTGTGTTGACTTGATTGAGTTTTGGTTCGAGAGAGATTTTGTTTTCTAATATTAATTTAAGTGTTTATTGGAGGATGGTCTTCTGACCTTGTATTTTATGTTAAGGGCTGTGAGCTTCTGGCTGGCCTTCTATGTGTGAGGGACCAGTTTCTGTGTAGTTCTTTAAAGGATAATGGGCTGATTTTGATGATCAACTCAACTTTGCAGGGGAGTGGTCGCGAAAGAAATTTTCTTTTCCCTCGTCCTGTGCAACCTCCAACAGCCTCCCATCAGGTTGAGAAGTTTCATGGACGTCAACCTGCTGGAGCAACTTTGAACAGTCATTTACCACAGCTTGAGGAAAGAAAGAAGGTAGGCAATGATGATGATTTTACAGTTCCTGTATATGTTCACTGCGAGATAGATCAATGCCATAGTAAAACCCAAAATGGCATTCATAGGGGAAAAATCTCTCCCTTAACCCAAACTTATCCAGATCATTCAACGAATTTGCAAAATATTTGTGATAAGGATCCCAATTCAAGACATGAGACTAGACACCAAGGTGAAGAAAACCCCAAAATTTGCATCTCAAATAGAGACCAGTCAGTAAAATCTTCTGCAAATTTATCAGCCAGAGATAGAGTTGATGGACTTGCAAAGGAAGCTAGTGCATTACCAATTCAAGAGTTTGTAGATCTCCCTGGATCTTATTTTAGCGGGTTAAATGACAGTTATGTTTCGTTACAACATGAATCTGGAGCTGGGTTGCAACAAAATGACCGTGGACATTGTGATGGTGATGAGTCTGGGAGGGATATTGAGAAGGAAATTGTTCCCAAGACAAGAAGTGGTGCCTGTACAAGGGAAGAGCATAGCAGTCCCAGCGAGCCTGTTATTGATAATGATTATCATGGAACCAATACTTGTGGGTCACTAAAGTTCAGAAATGGAGACAAAAGCGATGATGTCTCGGAGACCTCCATGGTGGATTGTATATCAGGCTTGGATATCACTCCCGATGATGTTGTAGGAATAATAGGTCAAAAACATTTCTGGAAAGCTAGAAAAGCAATCACCAAGTAAGTCTTTGTGCTCACTATTAGCTTCTCAAACATGTTTCATCTTGATGCCCTTAGATTTGGGGTTGCAACACATATTATGGACATACTATATTAAAAATGTTGTATAAATAATGGCATTCTAAAGGGTTTTGTTCTCGCAGTTCAGTATTTTATTTCACAATGTGATATTTATTATAGAGTTCTTTTAATGGAAGGATACAGGCATTCCATATAAACCTAATTGGGTACAGTAGTAAATTTCGATGAGGACATAAATGGAATCGTCCTTTTGTCTACAGATTACAAATTTGACAACCCAACTATGTCATTCTCATAGTATTGCTGCTATTGTAGAAGTTTTAGCTTTCTTGTTAAACTCTTGGTTATTTTGTTGTGAAGAAAAATGAAGTTCTCCTGTTTGATATTGTAAATGATTTGCTGTGCTTATTGGTGATTTTGACTCATCATTTTAAGAAATATTAAAGAAGAAACTTTGATTGTCTGCTTTGTTTGTCTAATTTGATGAACTTTGATATATGTGAATTTTTTTTCTCTAGAAGGGAGAAGCAATTATTGTACTATAATCTAAGAAATTATTTCAGCAGGTGACTACATCATTAGACTTGTATATACAAAATGTATATACAAAATATATTCTAGTAGGTTGCTACAGTTATCTATTTCCTATTATTAATGTTTCTTCTCAAAGTAAAGCTACTAATTATTTTGAATGCAAAATAGAATACCAACACAAGGAGTTTAGAAAGAATGTTTATTGTTACTGAGTTGAATTGAGCGACAGAGAATTTGTAGTATGGAGTCCTGGAGTTCCTCTTAAAAGGCCCTAGATAACATTTTAGTGGTGGATCGTCTTACAGCAGGGAAATGGACAATTCTAATCGAGGTATGCAAGGTGACCCCCGAGACAGCGGATCAATTCAATTTACTGTTTTGTCTTGCATCTGTCTATGGGGCATTTTCCTGTCTCGGTGTGGTGTTGATTTTCCCTGCAATCCTGAGAGTTTATCTATTCACAGCACTTGAGGGCCTGAAGCAGGAGGAGGATGATCCCTTGTAATGTTGGGTGGTTCTCTGAAGTGAAAAATGGGAGGATATTTGACAGTGAGAACATTTTTGGTGGATATGGTGGCAAAAAGAATGTTGTTCTCATGTAGTGTCTTGATTTTTTATGTTAGACAATTCTGGTGAGAGAGTGATTCATAATCTTTGCTGCTGTTTAGCTTCTGATATTTACCAGTCATGTACATTTTGTATATATCATACAATGCTGTTATTTCTGATAGGAAATTGTGTTTCATCTATGCAATTAAGGAAATGTGATGTACATAGTGTAAACTATAAATCTTTATCTTGTATGTAACTTTATGTTCCATTCTATCTCAAGGTAGTCTAGTTTTATTTACAGTTGATTGTCCAATTTTTCAGTTTCTAATAAAATTCCATGCATTTATCATGAGGGGAATATTTACAAGTTTTGAAACAGAAGTTATTGTTTGTGATAGAAGCTGCTCGTTGTTATCTTTCCATTTGATATTTTTGAACTGTTGATATTGTTTGAAAGTTTTTGCAAGCATTCATATTGGAAACTTGCGGAAGTTGTGGGGGTGGTAGTGTTTAGTTGTTTGTGTTTCTTCAATGTGTACTTGGTGTGCTATGCCCTGGAAATTTTCTCGTTACGGTTGGTAGAATCATATTGTGTAAGTGTAAAAGGATTGACAGAGATTGTGGTGACTACATAGAACTATGGAGAGGATTAAGGCTTACTCAAGGAGATGGTGAGGGCAGTTGTATTACTGATTGTATATATCCACAGTATGGTTGTGGGTGAGGGTGAGGGTGTAAAGAGCTTTATACAGTAGGGAAATTCAAACCTTCAGGCCAATTAAGTTACCCACTTTGCCCTGGCATCTGTGCTGGCAGTTTGGTGTGCATACTAAACTTTTCAAAATGATGCTTTCTGGTGTCATGTCTGCACATTAATTTCTGCTTTGTCTTATTATTTCTCCTCTTCCTGGGTAACGTTTATTAAGATTCTTTCTTTGATTTCTGTGCAATTTTGTTTTTGATTAAATTCCTGTTACTCTGTACAGTCAACAAAGAGTGTTTGCGGTTCAAGTATTTGAGTTGCATAGACTGATTAAGGTGACGTTATCCTACTCTGTTCAGTAGCTTTTGCTGGTCCCTGTGAGGGATACAGAATACTTTGTCCACCAATTTTGTTTTTGGATCGGAATTAACTTAAGTTCTGAATTTAAACAGGTCCAACAACTGATTGCTGGATCACCACACCTATTGCTTGAGGACAGTCCCTATCTTGGCAAATCTTCTTTAATTGCTTCTCCAGCAAAGAAACTTCTGCCGGAGTATGTTGTAAAACCACTACCACATATCATTAAGTGTAAAGATGATTCTGAGAAGCCTCTCCATAAGATGGAATGTTCTGCGGAAAATGCAGTTGGGAAGACATTTCTTTCTTCTCTGAAAAAGGGTAGTCAGCCTTCAAATTACGGGCCTTACCTTGCAAACCCACCATCAGCAGCCATGGCTGGTGATTCCAGAATAGGCCCGTGGTGTTTTCATCAATCACCCGGGCATCAGTGGTTAGTTCCAATCATGTCCCCTTCCGAAGGGCTTATATACAAACCATATCCTGGTCATGGATTTATGGGAGCAGGTTGTGGGACAAGATGCGGGCCTTTTGGGCCAACTCCCGAAACTGGTAACTTTATGAATCCAGCCATTGGAATGCCATCTCCTCATCATCATCAAGAAATTGGGGTGATACCGGGTGCTCATCCAGTTGGTCATAATTACTTCCCTCCTTATGGCATGCCAATAATGAACCCATCTATCTCAGGTTTAGCTACTGAACAAGACAACCAGTTTGCTGGACACGGTCCACATGGTCAAAATGGTCAGTTATCTGGAGGGGGAGCTAACTTTAACATGCAGCGTGAAAGCTCATGCAATGTTCCGGCCCAGAAGAGTGGAGCTATTCCACAAGTAATGAAGTTTCGGGCGTCTAAAGACACAGAGCTACAAGGAAGTACAGCTAGTAGTCCAGGTGAGAGAACGCAAGGTGAAGGGAGAGGTCCAGCTGTCGAAGGAAGAGATTCACTTCCACTGTTCAAGAAGGCTCCAGTCGACCAAGAGCGAGTCCCTCAGCCTCATGATACAGACCAGCCAACCAAGGTGATCAAAGTTGTGCCTCACAATCCTAGATCAGCTACTGAGTCTGCAGCTCGAATTTTTCAGTCCATACAACAAGAGAGGAAACAGTATGACTCAATTTAGTTTGCTTGTGTTGAACAAACTCTTTACTGGTTAATTATCTGAGACCATCTGCTTTGGAATGTTTCCTGGTAATTTCCCTCTACTTTTTTGGGCATGATATTTTGTAATTTTCTTTTTAAAATTGTGATATAGTTTATTCACATGTAGATAAATCACTAGGATTACAAGTCTGTAATATGAATATTTGTTTAAAATTGATACCAAGTAGAGGGAGATCTGTAGAGGGGGGAGGAGGATGGTATTTTACACTTAGAAACGTGATAACTAGTTAATTTGCAACTGTCTTCCCCTCTCATGTTGTAGACTATGTATTATTGCAGCTGTGGTAAAGAACACTAGATATCATCTAGTGAGGTTTTTTGTTGTATTTAGTTCTTTTGTGTTTTTTCTTTATATAATGCCAAATGGTGGCGTTGGGTTGGGATGGTTGTGCTGCTACTTTCATCATTCTGAAATTGGGTTTTGTTGGTCTTCTATACATACCATATGAAATTGGCTATGAAAATAGAACAACTTTTTGAAAATGGTGGCTTTGGGTTGGGACAGCAGTATGTAAAAAAATATTTAAACAGAATCTCTTGTATGATGATCGGTAATTTCTGTGAATATGTGAAGTGTCTGTTTTTACAAATGGTCATTTCTGTGAATATGAGTATTTTTTCATTCTTAAATGGTTTTTAAACTAGGGTGTAATTTTAAATTTTGAATTATATTTTTCATCTATTCATATTTGAAAACTCATTTTGTATAAATTTGAAAATATTTTCTAATTTTTAAAAGTATGAAACAGACTTTTATTTATTTATTTCTTCTTGGTGATATGCTATGCGGCTAACTCTTGAAACACTTCATTAGTGGGAAAACTAATTCTAAATATAAGTTGCCCAGCAATTGTGAATCAGACCTCGAAACCCTGAATGTACAATTTTCCAGCACCTTCACCTTCATGTTTGGTATCTTATATGTGTAACTCATTTATGGCTCTTGTTACCTTCTTGATATACTTGAAGCCAGCCAATAACAGTTTACATGCTTTGAGCATGGACATTTTGTTTTAAACCAGTAGTCAATTAACAGTTTCGGCTGTCCCAGTTCTTGTTAAGGGGGGTCTTTAGCGAGTAATTATAGGTTAAATTATATTTTGATTCCCAGTTTCAGGCTTGAGAGCATGTACAGAGGACCTTTCAGAAGAAAAAGAAAAGTTTCAAATTTTACCAACACCTTGCAGTTAAAGTGTTCTACAAGTAGAGAGGTAAAGCGGAGAATTATTTGAATGAGGCATCAATTTGATTTATTTATTGTAGAGCTGAAGAGCTGTGACAATCACTATTATTCTAACCGATTATATTCTGATTCACTGTTTATGGACAGTAAACACTTTTTCCAGGCCGCCCGCCAAAGAAAAACACAGGTCCATCTTTATAGTCTTTTTCGTCATTTACTACACTATAGCAGTCCTTTTCATCACCCCAAGTGGATACCCATTCAGGGTACTTCAATTGAAGAGAATTATCTATAATTCTTATGTTCTTGATATAGCATGCACTACCCATTAGAGTATCTGCCATTTCTCCACTTCCCATAGCTGTTCTTGTGTGCGGAGTTTTCTTCACCTTCGGGCTAAACACTTGTCCTCCCCATTCCACTAATATCGCACTAAGCTTTAGGACACTGAACAGAATTGCTGGCCAATACCCAACAACTTGATTGTTATACTGTAACCACCAGTTACCTGAATTCGGATCCTGTAATGAACAAACACCAAGTTTATATATACTGATACAAAAAAATAAAAAACAAACAAAAAAAATATATATATATTACCAGGTTTATGCTAATAGTCATTTGATACTGCTGACCGTCAATACTGGATATGGCATCAAGGCTTCCACCAAGGGCTATTTGGGGGTCTGTTTGCACAAACCCAGTGCAAGTGAGGTCGAAACAACCGGTTGTCTTGTAACTGTCTGCCTAAAGATAGATGAAAACAAGTAAATAAGCAAGATAAGTTACATTTCTTAAATTTCATTCAAAGCAGCAACGAAACTTACAGTCCAGTATGCAAAAAATCGTGTGCGTTTATCACCATATAGCTTGGGATTTACCTGAAACAGTGTGATGAATTAGGAAAAACGTAAAGTTCAGATTTCTCAAGTACGATTCTGATAATGTACTAACCATCCATCCCGACTCCACGCTTTCAAAACTGTCGCCAGGGCCACCTTTAAGCCATATTTGAGCAGCAGTATAATCATCTTCCAAATCAACATTTGGATTCCAAACGTTTATATCTCCTTGAGCTCCTAAATAGTTGTATCCAACTGTAACTAGAACTGCAGCCTAGTTCAGGAAATGCAATCAAATAAATTAGGAGAAGTGATACTTTCTGGCAAAGTTATGTTAAGGACATGGAAAAGCTACAGCTGCTCAAAAGGATGCTTACTGAACGGTCAACCGTAGATAGACCACCAATGTCGATTTTGGTATTGTTTATGTTTATAAATTTGCTATTATTAGCTTCTGTTCCTTTTGCTGCATAAGAAATTTCCGGACTTTTTCTTTAATATAAACGTAAACATTCTACACCATATATGTTTAATAGCCGTAAAAGAACTAATTTAATTAAAATATATATGGTCATGGTCCACTGAACGAATCGTACACCTTTGTTTAATTAGACGTAAACTTTTACACCATATGTGTTTAATATAGCCTAAAATAACTAATTTTTAAATATAATAACGGTCATGGTCCACTGACCGAATCGTACACCTGATATGTTTAATATAGAAAACACTACACTTATATGTGTTTAATATAGCCGTAAAGAACTAATTTAATTAAAAAATATAATACGGTCATGGTTCATTGAACGACATCATACACCTGATATGTTTAATATAGACGTACATTCTACACCATATATTTTAATATAACCGTAAAAGAACTAATTTAATTAAAATTATACGGTCATGGTCCACTGAATGAATTGTACACCTGATATATTTATATACGTAAACTTCTACACCTATATGTTTAATATAGCTGTAAAAGAACTAATTTAATTAAAATATAAATACGGTCATGGTCCACTAACGAATCACACCTGATATATTTAATATAGACGTAAACATTCTATACCATATATGTTAATATAGCCTAAAAGAATCTATTTAATTAAATATAATAATGTCATGGTCCACTGAACGAATCGTATACCTTATATGTCTAAGATAGCGTTAATCGCTTAAACGATCTAGTGAATACAATAAAAATAATCCGAAACACTAGATCACTTAAGAGATTCATTTATCGCTTAAGCGATCATGTGTATTTGACTTAGTCGCTTAAGAGATCTGTTGTATTTATGTTACCGCTTAAGCGATTCTAAGCTTTTACACTTGGTCGCTAAGTGATCTACGACGATCGCTTAGAACAGAATCGATAAGTGCACAGACGCACTATCGCTTAAGCGATCATTTGCTTTAACCTTGGTCGCTTAGCGTCATGTCAGGCGAAAACTTCTGCCTAGAGCACAATCTCTAAGCGATTAAGTGTATCGCTTAAGGCGATTCTTCGCTTTTACTGTTGATTGCTTAGCGATTGTATGATCACGAAGACAATAAATAGTGCCCAGACGCACGATCGCTTAAGTGATTTATTATCGCTTAACGATCCCCTGCTCTTTAACGTGTCCGTTTAGCGATTATAATCGCTTAAGCATCATGTCCAGGCAAATCAACTTCTGTCAGAGGCCCGATCACTTAAGTGATCTAGGTATCGCTTAGCGATTCTTCGCTTTTACTGTTGGTCGCTTAAGCGATCATGAACATAATAAATAACTGCCCACGCAAGATCGCTTGCGTTGTGCATCTAGCAGAAATTGCTTCTGCCTAGATGCACAATCGCTTAAGATCTAGGTATCACTTTTACTGTTGGTCGCTTATTGCTTAAGCGATCACACAACAGACAATCATAAGTGCCAGACGCACGATTGCTTAAACGATTTATTATATCGTTAAGCGATCATTTGCTTTTAACCTTGGTCGCTTAAGCGATCTATCCAGACATAATCAATTTCTGCTCAGATGCCGATCGCTGCGATTTAGGTAATGTTTAAGCGATTATTCGCTTTTATCTTGGTAGTTTAAGCGATTTTAGATCACCTAAACAATCATGTCCGACGCTTGGAATTGCGTCGGCGTCCTCTCTTTAGTTTCAATTCAACTCTGCCTCCCCTTGCTCCGCCAGTAAATGTCTTTTGTCGGCGTCGTTCCTCTCCTGGTGGAGCAACTTCAGTCATCGGAAGTTACTCCACTAACTTCTTCTGTCATTTTTGGTAGACCCAGTGGTGCCTACAATTTGGAAGTATGGGTTTTTTTTTTATTTCTTTGAGGATCTCAGCCATTAACTTAATCGGGAATGGCAAGAATAAAAAATGTAAAGAGCAAAAAATTGAGAAATTGTAGAAAATTGGAAGAAAAAATGGAGAGAGGAAGGTGTTTGAATCCTGTTTTGAGAAAGAAGGTGAGAAAATGTGTTTTGCGTTTCAAATTTTAAATCAACTTTTGCTTTATTCTTCCTAACCGCAAATATTTAAATTTTTTTACCCAATTTTTTTTTTGCTGCTTTATTACACTTATGTGTCATATCATATTTTTAATTCAAAAAATCAAAGAGATTTTCACGCATTTTGTTAAATGGAACTTGACATTCGGGGAGTTAAATTTTCTTAAAAAGGCCCACTACCCGCACTTTTCACTTTCCCTTTTCTAAAAAGGCGATGATCCTCGTAGGAATCCCTAACCCACCTTAAATTCCAACCCCTTCTTTTTCCTATCGAATCTGTTCGATTCACCCATCAATTTCACCTCATTTGATCAATTTTTTTTAGTTCATCTGGTTAATGGGTATTGTTGGTGATATTTTTGAAATCATTTGTTGTTCTAGTTGGGTGTCAATTTGAGAGAAGAAATGAAGAGGGGAAAGATGATGAAATGATCATGGGTCCAATGTTCCCTAGACTTCATGTTAATGATGCTGAGAAAGGAGGCTAGAGCGCCGCCCGGACACAATGGCCCTTTATGAGCAGCTCAGTATTCCTACTCAGAGGTTCAATCATGCTGCTTTTCCTCCGTCTTCTGACAATAGCAACCGGTTCCTCCAGTTCCCAAGCCAGGTAACTTTTTCTATCTTTATGTCTCATTTATTCTTTTTGGTTTGAAGTGTTCTGATGCTTTATTTTTTAGAGTAAGGCGGTGGGTTCACCAAGGATTTGCTATTATTCTGGCACAAACATCATCATATATTCTTGCTATTGTTGATTAATAGGCAACTATATACTGTTGTGTTGACTTGATTGAGTTTTGGTTCGAGAGAGATTTTTGTTTCTAATATTAATTTAATGTTTTATTGGAGGATGGTCTTCTGACCTTGTATTTTATGTTAAGGGCTGTGAGCTTCTGGCTGGCCTTCATGTGTGAGGACCAGTTTCTGTGTAGTTCTTTAAAGGTAATGGGCTGATTTGATGATCAACTCACTTTGCGGGGAGTGGTCGCGAAGAAATTTTCTTTTCCCTCGTCCTGTGCAACCTCCAACAGCCTCCCATCAGGTTGAGAAGTTTCATGGACGTCAACCTGCTGGAGCAACTTTGAACAGTCATTTACCACAGCTGAGGAAAGAAAGAAGGTAGGCAATGATGATGATTTTACAGTTCCTGTATATGTTCACTGCGAGTAGATCAATGCCATGTAAAACCCAAAATGGCATTCATAGGGGAAAAATCTCTCCCTTAACCCGAACTTATCCTGATCATTCAACGAATTTGCAAAATGTTTGTGATAAGGATCCCAATTCAAGACAGAACTAGACACCAAGGTGAAGAAACCCCAAAATTTGCATCTCAAATAAGACCATTCAGTAAATCTTCTGCAAATTTATCAGCCAGAGATAGAGTTGATGGACTTGCAAAGGAAGCTAGTGCATTACCAATTCAAGAGTATGTAGATCTCCCTGGATCTTATTTAAGCGGTTAATGACAGCAGTTATGTTTCGTTAACATGAATCTGGAGCTGGGTTGCAACAAAATGACCGTGGACATTGTGTTGTGATGAGTCTGGAGGGATATTGAGAAGGAAATTGTTCCCCAGAAAAGAAGTGGTGCCTGTACAAGGCAGAGCATAGCAGTCCCAACGAGCCTGTTATGATAATGATAATCATGGACCCATACTTGTGGGTCACTAAGGTCAGAAATGGAGCAAAAAGCGATGATGTCTCGGAGACCTCCATGTGATTGTATATCAGGCTTGGATATCACTCCCGATGATGTTGTAGGAATAATGTCAAAAACATTTCTGGAAAGCTAGAAAAGCATCACCAAGTAAGTCTTTGTGCTACTATTAGCTTCTCAAACTTTTTCATCTTGATGCCCTTAGATTTGGGGTTGCAACACATATTATGGACATACTATATTAAAATGTTGATAAATAATGGCATTCTAAAGGGTTTTGTTCTCGCAGTTCAGTATTTTATTCACAATGTGATATTTATTATAGAGTTCTTTTAATGGAAGGATAGGCATTCCATATAAACCTAATGGTTACAGTAGTAAATTTCGATGAGGACATAAATGGAATCGTACAGATTACAAATTTGACAACCCAACTATGTCATTTCATAGTATTGCTGCTATTGTAGAAGTTTTAGCTTTCTTGTTAAACTCTTGGTTATTTGTTGTGAAGAAAAATGAAGTTCTCCTGTTTGATATTGTAAATGATTTGCTGTGCTTATGTGATTTTCACTCATCATTTTAAGAAATATTAAAGAGAAACTTTGATTGTCTGCTTTGTTTGTCTAATTTGATGAACTTTGATATATGTGAATTTTTTTTCTCTAGAAGGGAGAAGCAATTATTGTACTAATCTAGAAATTCAGCAGGTGACTACATCATTAGACTTGTATATACAAAATATAATCTAGTAGGTTGCTACAGTTATCTATTCCTATTATTAATGTTTCTTCTCAAGTAAAGCTACTAATTATTTTGAATGCAAAATAGAATACCAAACAAGGAGTTTAGAAAGAAGTTTATTGTTACTAGTTGATTGAGCGACAGAGAATTTGTATGGGATTCCTGGAGTTCCTCTTAAAAGGCCCTAGATACATTTTAAGGTGGTGATCGTCTTACGCAGGGAAGGACAATTCTAATCGAGGTATGCAAGGTGACCCCGAGACAGCGGATCAATTCAATTTACTGTTTTGTCTTGCATCTGTCTATGGGGCATTTTCCTGTCTCGGTGTGGTGTTGATTTTCCCTGCAATCCTGAGAGTTTACTATTCACAGCACTTGAGGGCCTGAGCGAGGAGGATGATCCCTTGTAATGTTGGGTGGTTCTCTGAAGTGAAAAATGGGAGATATTTGACAGTGAGAACATTTTTGGTGGATATGGTGGCAAAAAGAATGTTGTTTCCATGTAGTGTCTTGATTTTTTATGTTAGACAATCTGGTGAGAGAGTGATTCATAATCTTTGCTGCGTGTTTAGCTTCTGATATTTACCAGTCATGTACATGTTGTAGTATTATTCAATGCTGTTATTTCTGATAGGAAATTGTGTTTCATCTATGCAATTAGAAATGTGATGTACAGTGTAAACTATAAATCTTTATCTGTATGTAACTTTTGTTCCATTCATCTCAAGGTAGTCTAGTTTTATTTACAGTTGATTGTCCAATTTTTCAGTTTCTAATAAAATTCCATGCATTTATCATGAGGGGAATATTTCAAGTTTTGAAACAGAAGTTATTGTTTGTGAAGAAGCTGCTCGTTGTTATCTTTCCATTTGATATTTTTGAACTGTTGTATTGTTTGAAAGTTTTTGCAAGCATTCATTGGAAACTTGCGGAAGTTGTGGGGTTGGTAGTGTTTAGTTGTTTGTGTTTCTTCAAGTGTACTTGGTGTGCTATGCCCTGGAAATTTCTAGTTACGGTTGGTAGAATCATATTGTGTAGTGTAAAAGGATTGACAGAGATTGTGGTGACTACATAAGCTATGGAGAGGATTAAGGCTTACTCAAGGAGATGGTGAGGGCAGTGTATTACTGATTGTATATATCCACAGTATGTTGTGGGTGGGTGAGGGTGTAAAGAGCTTTATACAGTAGGGAAATTCAAACCTTCAGGCCAATTAAGTTACCCACTTTGCCCTGGCATCTGTGCTGGCAGTTTGGTGGTGCATACAAACCTTTCAAAATGATGCTTTCTGGTGTCATGTCTGCACATTAATTTCTGCTTTGTCTTATTATTTCTCCTCTTCCTGGGTAACGTTTATTAAGATTCTTTCTTTGATTTATGTGCATTTTTGTTTTTGATTAAATTCCTGTTACTCTGTACAGTCAACAAGAGTGTTTGCGGTTCAAGTATTTGAGTTGCATAGACTAGATTAGGTGACGTTATCCTACTCTGTTTAGTAGCTTATGCTGTGTCTGTGAGGGATACAGAATACTTTGTCCA